GACTTTGAAGGGAGTTTTCGTACAATCTCCTATGAAACTTTTAAAAACGTAGGTGTCTGACATCCATCTCGAATGTGCTACGTGAGATACTGCCAGGGGTAACAGGAAAGCAAACACAACTTTCACAAAACCCCACAGGCAGTTCTTTCAGGGGTCTATGGGAGATTTGTTTGTTTGTTTTCAATAGATCAAGTAGAAAAAATATTAGAAAACAAAAAGATAATTCATTTCATTCAAAATTCATTCTGCCCACTCTATAGCTGGTACTCAGTCAAATGCCAGCAAGAAATCAGAAGATATATATAAAGGCCACATGTGTTCTGAGTCGGAGAATTGTGGCTTCTGGAAGAGTCTTCCATTTTGCCATCCAATTTTCTTTTCTGTCCTTTGATGTCAACTGCATTGGTAGTGAGGACTGCCCAGAGCACAGACTGGGGACATGTGTTCTCATGGCTGTGTGCTCCTCTTCACCTGCTGTCTCCACACAGTTTTAGATATTCAGTAAACAATTCGAATCAGTTAAAAATGGGAGACATTGAAATAACCGTTACATGTGGACTCTTCCAGGGAACATTCGATCATTTTTTCTTTGTCCGACACAATTTTGCTTTACAGAATTTTCCAGCACATTTCAGAAAGTAACGTATATTTGCTGATAAATAATCTAAGAACTACTAAACATCAAAATAAGAAGAAATTTCTTCTTTAATTTTTTTATTTATTTGACAGGTAGAGTTATAGACAGTGAGAGAGAGAGAGAGAGAGAGAGAGAGACTGAGAGAAAGGTTCTCCCTCCATCGGCTTATTCCCCAAATGGCCCCCATGGCCAGCACTGCACCGATCCATAGCCAGGAGCCAGGTGCCTCCTACTGGTATCCCATGAGGGTACAGGGGCCCAAGCACTTGGGCCATCCTCCACTGCATCCCCAGGTCACAGCAGAGAGCTGGACTGGAAGAGCAGCACCCACCATATGGGTGCCGGTTCAAGACCCAGCTGCTCTACTTCTGATTCGGCTCTATGCTATGGCCCAGGAAAGCAGTGGAAGATGGCCCAAGAGCTTGGGGCTTTGCACCCATGCAGGAGATCTGGAAGAAACTTCTGGCTCCTGGCTTTGGATCCGCTAAGCTCTGGCCCTTGTAGCTATTTGGGGAGAGAATGAACAGATGGAAAAAAGCTCTCTCTGTCTACCTCTGCCTATCTGTAACTCTGCCTTCCAAATAAATAAATAAATCTTTAAAAAATAGCTTTGATAAACATGTTTAAGGATATAACGTAAAAGATAGACTAAAAGGATGAAAAAGTTAGAGTAGTATTTGATAATTGGGAGCAATAGAACTGGGCATTAACATCTCAATAGACAGAGTTAACAGCAAATTAAAAACAGCAGAAGATAGGATTAGAAAACTGGAAAGAGGGGGCGAGCGCTGTGACTTACTTGGCTAATATTCCACCTGTGGCGCCGGCATGCCATATGGGCACTGGGTTCTAGTCCCGGCTGCTCTTCTTCCAGTCAGCTCTCTGTTGTGGCCCAGGAAGGCAGTGGTGGATGGCCCAAGTCCTTGGGTGCCTGCACCCTCGTGGAAGACCAGGAGGAGGCACCTGGCTCCTGGCTTCGGATTTGCGTAGCTCTGGTCGTAGCAGCCACTTGGGAGTGAACCAACAGAAGGAAGATCTTTCTCTCTGTCTCTCTCTCTCACTGTCTAACTCTGCCTATCCAAAAAAAGAAAAAAGAAAAAAAGAAAGAAAACTGGAAGGAAGAGAAATTAAATACATATAGAGAGATGAGAGAGATGAAAAGGATAATAAACATAGAAAAACATGTAGAAGATAGGACATTATATAGTGAAAATTTCCCACACATGTTTAAATGAAACCCCAAAAAGAGAAAAAAAAGCAGAAGCATTATCTGAATATTATGAAGTTAATTTGACTGTAAAATGTAAATATAGTCAAAGCAGAAAGAATTGATGTGAAAATAATGAAGAAGATCAAAGTAGGAGGATTTATTTAGCAAAAAAAAAATCAAAATTTACATGATACCTTAAATTACCACCATTATGGCATGGTTGTGGGGATAGACAGATGAACTAATTTTATAAAGTAAAGAACATGTGTAACAAGGCTGGCACTGTCGCTTAGTTGATAGAGAATTTTCTGTTCCCAACACATGGCTTGGTAAATTGGATATTCACACAGGAAGAAAAAACAACAGCAGAAGACTCAACCTTAAATTCACACCATAGACAGCAGTCAACTGCAGGTTGATTTTAGATTAATTATGAAAGGTAAAACATAATTTTTAGAAGCATGGGAGAACTCAACAGTTTAGCAGCTGAGTGGCAGTGAGGCTCTATTCAGAAGCTGCCCTTCTTGGCTCCACACAACATTTGTCTTTGTCTAAAAATCCAAAAATTACAGAAGAAAACCAGAAACTCTTCATTTTTATATACTAGTCAATACAAGTCCATGTCTGAAGACAATGCTCATTATTACAAATTAAATGCATGAAAATTATAGGTAAGCATTGTTTAGATAAGGGATCCGCTTCTTTAATTTTTACTCTCTCAGAATTAACAAAATCATGCCAGTTTGTGCAAAGTCCCAGAATAGATGCCCGTGAAGAAGGCAAAATTCAAAGCAGGTTGAGATTGTCAGAAAAAAAAAAAAACATGGTGATATACACAGAATAAAAATCAACAACTTGCATGATCAGTAATGTATTGCTGGAATAAAGTGTGTTTTGCTGTGTTCTCCTTTGTTCAACACAGAGGTGGCTAGCTTTGTATGTGGCATCTGTTCTTGCCTCCACCAAACTAGAAGATGTAGCTGCTACTATTTTTCCACTCAGCATAAAAATTTCACAACAAAACCATTAGCAAGCAGTTGAAGATTTCAAGGAAAAACAGATTTACTTCAAATCTGACACTGCAAATTACTTAAAAGAGTTTAATTTAGAATTGTAATTTTCTTGCAAATCTCACCATGGACATTTTTTCAACCTAAGATTTTCTGCTTGTTACATTTCTTTTTCCGATGCCTTTCAAATATCTGCTTGAATGACACAGCCCACCCCCACTATGGCTGAAACACAGGAACGTTTACACTGGATTTCCTCTCAAGGTGATGCCAATTCCAGCCATTCAGCCTTTCCTTACACTTTCCATGTCAACCAAACCTGATAAATAACATTCTCTCTATCACTGATCTATTTCCTACGGAAAAACATGTGTCCTTTCCTCCCAATATCAAAAACAAACCACCAAACAAAAATTATGCACGGAAAAGACAGCCCCCCAAAACTACTTATAATGTGTAAGCTCTCCCTACTAAGGGATGGAAGAAACCCTACATTGTCTACTTGAGTAGTGCTTTCTTTCACAGTGTGCTAGTGCAGCTGTGAAGAAAGTCTCTTCCCTCAGCCCTGTACTTGTCCCTCTCTGCACAGTTCAGGAAAGTCCCACTTGAGTCAGCAGAACTTAAATGCAACAGACATGCAGTTGTTGGTATGCATGGGATAGCGCTCAGGTTCCCTCATCTCATGAGATCCCTCTTCTTTAAGGTCTGGTACCAAATACCATCATGGTTTACATCAGTGGTAACCATGGTGAGGAAACTCTTTTTTTTTTTTTCCCCATTCATCATGAGGAATTAATCCAAAATATAGCTGAATGCTGCGTCTTAATTTATAAAGCCCAGATGAGTTTTCAAAATATAACCCAGATGCTATCTCCTGCAGGGGGAACTTCTGTTCTCAGCACACTTTAGTCTTAAAGGAAAACTCAGCATGTGTTCAGATCCAACTGGAAGGAAACACTGAAAGCCTTAGAGTGAGCTATCTGGATTTCACTAAAGATTTTCTTGGGAGACAAAGAGAGAAACTGACATTTAGCATTGCATTATAAACAAGTTAGTCTTTAAGAATTCTCCTTGGGAATGGGCAGGTCCTAAAAGTCCCTGTTTGGTTAAACTGCACATCCATTTCCTTCACTTTCTGGCCTTTCTACCATTTCCTCAAATAACACATCGCAATCTGCCACCTGAAAGACACCCATTCAACACATGTGGCTATTGGAATGCTTAGGTCATTTTCTTGAAGAGGAGCACCCTGAGGTCATCCAGACTTCCTCAGACCCCTCTCAGATGCTTTTGGGCTTACATGGTCTCCATATTCTTCCTTATATAACTTATTCAAGATTTCAATTGCATTTCTAACATAGACTGATGCATAGTGGTCCTCTATGCATTCTACAAGCATATTATAAAAATACATTTATAGAAGTGGGTAAAAAGTATATCATTGCATCTCTAAGAAAATAAAGGACGTGTTAAAACTAAAAACAAAACAAAACTTATCCTTTGCCTTGGGAGTATTTTTTTTTTTAATATCTATATTCCTGTGGCCAGCACTGTGACTCAGTGGATTAAAGTTGTGGGCTGCAGGGCCAGCAGCCCATATAGGCACCAGTTTGAGTCCTGGATGTTCCACTTCTGACCCAGCTCCCTGCTGATGTGCCTGGTAAAGCAGCAATGATGGCCCAAGTGCTTGCCACCCATGTGGGAGACTTGGAAGAAAGTCCTGGCTCGTGGCTTCAGACTGGCCCAGCCCTGGCTGCTGTGGCCATTTGGGCAGTGAACCAGCAGATGGACAATCTCCCTATCGCTCTTGTTCTCTCTCTCTCTGGAACTCTGTTTTTCAAGTAAATAAATCTTTAAAATAATAAATATCTATTTTGTCTTTAAAAATGTGGAACTCTTTTAAATAAAGTTTATTATCTTTTGTTGAGACAGGTATAGAAGTTTCATGATCTGTTATAAATATCCATGTTAGAAAAATATTACTGTAAGTAAAACTAAAGTGCTTTATTCCATTATTTTCTAGAGAGTAGATGACATTATATTCCTTTGAGCAGGAAGACTACTACACATTAAAACACAATAAATGCTAAGATTTAATTACTACCTATTGTGAAATTGATTATAACTTGAACATTTTACTTACATCTGTCAAATGGCCAAATGTTGGCTTAGCTGTTTGGAGCATAAGTTGTTTTGTCACTTGGTCTAATTCTAGAGGAAAAAAGCAAATTGGAACATCATCAAAAATAATTTTATAATAAGCAAAAACTAAAGGAATTAATCTTAATCGATTTATATTATATATGTCAAACTAGCAGACAAATTGGATTTTCCCTTAAAACACTCATTCATTAGTACTTCATAAATCTACAGTCATAGATAAATTATCACAGAAAATTTTAGCATAAATTGTTTCTTCCAATATTACATCAATGACCTCCATAATAAAAAATTGGAAATTACTTAGCATTTAACACGTGGCAAACATTATTAATTGGCTACTCTAAAGCCATCCCTTTAGCCCTTGGCAGAATCATTTTCCATAACAGAGGCCAGAATTATCAAACACTTGATTGTTTAAGGATCTCATGCTCTGAAGATAGATACAAGTGATGCAAATTGAAAGAAAATATGATTTCTGATCCAAATTTCGATATGTCTGAGAATGAAATGGAAGTATTCATAATTCTGCTTGGATAGCAAAATACACCAGGTTATCTTACTTAAACCTGACTGGTGGAATTTAAGAGGAAGTATGTGAAGTGTGTGTTGTGGGGGAGACTTCTGGGGAAGTATTATGGATTGAACAGACTCATACAGATGTTCAAACCTGGGAATTTATGGTAATACTCACGGATTAATGCTAACAGTTGATATGTTGGATAGAGCTCAAGCTTGATCCAATTACAGCACCTGAAGGTAGTCTTTGGGAAATGATCAGATTGGATTGAGTTGCTGAGGTGGGGGCCCATGACTGAATCATGATGGCTTTATAAGGAAAGACCACATAGAGGGAAAGGGGAAGAGATTCTGCTTCCTGACTCACCTAGTGATCATTCCCTGACATCCACTCTGCTGTTGCCAGTCCCCACCGAATGCTAGACTAATGGGGCTGCCCATTAGTTATAGAGTTTGACTCTCCAACTCTAATCTGAAATAAACCATTTTCCCTTCTAAATTGTTCCTCAGGTGAATTTTAGTCAAATATTGAGAAGCAGATTAACACAAAGTCTAGATTCCAGAACATAACAAATGATACAGAATGGTCAATTTCCTTTAGGTTTGGGACAAGTTTGGAATACAAGCCCACAGAAGTGGGTTGAATGCACCAAAAGACAACACTAAGGAATACAGGCAAGATACCAAAGATGACCAAGTGCAAACAAAAAAAGAAGAATCTTTTTTTTTTTTTTTTTGACAGGCAGAGTTAGATAGTGAGAGATAGAGAGAGAGAGAGAGAGAGAGAGAGAGAGACAGACAAAGGTCTTCCTTTTTCTATTGGTTCACACCCCAAGTGGCCGCTATGGCCAGCATGTTGCAGCTGGCACGCTGCGCCAGTCCGAAGCCAGGAGCCAGGTGCTTCCTCCTGGTCTCCCGTGCAGGTGCAGGGCCTAAGGACCTGGGCCATCCTCCACTGCCTTCCTGGGCCACAGCAGAGAGCAGGACTGGAAGAGGAGCAACCGGCACAGAATCCAGTGCTCCAACCAGGACTAGAACCTGGGGTGCCAGCGCCACAGGTGGAGTATTAGCCTAGTGAGCCATGGCGCCGGCCGGCAAGAATCTTTGCTTACTTCACTGAATAGTTTGCTTATTCTTACATGACATTTTAAAATAAAAAAAACAGTGTCAACCTACACTGCAAAATGTCAGTAAATATACCAATTGATTTTAAAGTCTACTTACAAATCAATATTCACCCAAAATCATAAAGCAACTTAATATTTGAAAAACTATTTGCTGTTCTAAGTTAACAGAAGTTAAAAAGCAGTGGAACAAATTTATAGTACAAACTAATTTCAGTATAATTAGTAGAATACATTTAAGCCAGCTGAAGGAAAAGATGTACATTTCAAGAGGACACACAAAGTAATATTAGATCCTCATGGTATGACTTAATGAGTTGAATATTAGACTGCATATATCAGGGTGCCTGCTCTGTGTGTTCACTGAGAATTATATGATTTCTGTCATTCTGCTGCATTATCTTGCCTTTACATTATCTGCTCACTTCCTCCACTATTTCATCTCCTATATCACCTATTGTGGAAGCCCTGAAACCAAGTACACACGATCCTTAATTCAAGGAACTACCAGTTGGCTTTAGTATTTACAAGAGAGAGTGTGTGTTATTTATGGAGAAAAGATTATTGGTTTGTCCACATCTATAATTCTGTAAAATAGATGTTCTTCCTTCTGGGTTATCTGAGTGGGAAACAAAAATTAAATTGTCAAGTTGTAGGAAAGAAGTCAAGGATATTTAAGTTTGTACATATTAAGTGTAGTCACCACCCCCAGACAAGTTCCTGTTATCACATATAATCCTCAAAAAGTTTCTGAAAGATAGGTAGTCTTACACCACAACATTACAAAGAAGAAACTGTTGCCTTGAGAAAATAAAAAAAAAATTGAATTTCCAATATTCAGCCAAATTCTATATAGCATACTAAAAAGGAAAAAAAAATTGAAATTTAACTCAATGCAAGTTATAAAAATAGCATCAGTTATCATTTTAACATAAGGCACAACCAAGAACTGTATCAATTATTCAATTTTATAGTTTTAAAAGTATAGAAACATCATTTTTTCATAATATTAGTATTAATATTAATTTTTACCAACTTTATATTACCTAATCATGATGCATTTAATAGTTTGAAAAATCAAACAATTTTTTAGAGAAAAGAATATGTAGTTAAATAAAAATAAGAAATCAGTTTGTGTTTCCCCTAAAATATTATCTTAAGTTATAAAACAGTAACAAACAGGAAAGTGAAGAGGCAACCGACAGAATGGGAAAAAATATTTGCAAACTATGCAACAGATAAGGATTAATAACCAGAATCTACAAAGAGATCAAGAAACTCCACAACAACAAAACCAACAACCCACTTAAGAGATGGGCCAAGGACCTCAATAGACATTTTTCAAAACAGGAAATCCAGATGGCCAACAGACACATGAAAAATGTTCAAGATCACTAGCAATCAGGGAAATGCAAATCAAAACCACAATGAGGTTTCACCTCACCCCGGTGAGAATGGCTCACATACAGAAATCTACCAACAACAGATGCTGGTGAGGATGTGGGGAAAAGGGACACTAACCCACTGTTGGTGGGAATGCAAACTGATAAAGCCACTATGGAAGTCAGTCTGGAGATTCCTCAGAAACCTGAATATATCCCTACCATACAACCCAGCCATCCCACTCCTTGGAATTTACCCAAAGGAAACTAAATTGGCAAATGAAAGAGCTGTCTGCACCTTAATGTTTACTGCAACTCAATTCACAATAGCTAAGACTTGGAATCAACCTAAATGCCCATCAACAGTAGTCTGGATAAAGAAATTGTGGGATATGTACTCTATAGAATACTATATAGCAGAAAAAAAAACACACAATGAAATCTGGTCATTGGCAACAAAATGGAAGAATCTGAAAACATCATGCTGAGTGAAATAAGCCAATACCATAGGGACAAATATCATATGTTCTCCCTGATTAGTGACAACTAAACAAGCACCTAAAAGGAAACCTGTAGAAGTGAAATGGACACTATGAGAAACAGTGACTTGATTAGCCCTTGTCCTGAATATTGATGTATAATTTAATACTTTATCCCTGCTGGCGCCGCGGCTCACTAGGCTAATCCTCCGCCTTGCGGCGCCGGCACACCAGATTCTAGTCCCCATCGGGGCGCCGGATTCTGTCCCAGTTGCCCCTCTTCCAGGCAAGCTCTCTACTGTGGCCAGGGAGTGCAGTGGAGGATGGCCCAAGTACTTGGGCCCTGCACCCCATGGGAAACCAGGATAAGTACCCGGCTCCTGCCATCAGATCAGCACGGTGTGCTGGCTGCAGCGCTGGCCGCGGCGGCCATTGGAGGGTGAACCAATGGCAAAGGAAGACCTTTCTCTCTGTCTCTCTCTCTCTCACTGTCCACTCTTCCTGTCAAAAAAAAATAAAAAAATAATAAAAAAAACTTTATCCCTTTTAGTATTTTTTTTGTTCTAGTTAATACTATTGGTTGAACTCTGTAATTAACACACAATTATTCTTAGGTGATAAAATTTAACTGAAAAGTGATCTCTGTTATATATAAGAGTGGGAATAAGAGAGGGAGGAGATGTACAGTTCAGCACAAGCTCAATCAGACTTGCCCCAAATGGTAGAGTTAGAAATATGTCAGGGGATTCCAATTCAATCCCATCAAGGTGGCATGTACCAATGCAATCTCACTAGTCAAAGTGATCAGTTTCAGTTCATAATTGGTCATAATGATAAGATTAAGAGTCAAAGGGATCACATAAACAAAACTAGTGTCTGCTAATACTAACTGATTGAATTAAAAAGGAGAGAAAAATCCCACATGGGAAGCGGGATACACAGAAAACTCATAGAATGGCAGATGTCCTAAATAGCACTCTGGCCTCAGAGTCAGCCATTAAGGCATTCAGATCTGGCTGAAGAGCCCATGAAACTATTTCAGGCATGGAAAGCCAAGGCACTGTGGAAAAAATAAATAAATTATTTTAAAAAATGACCTAAATGAAAGATATCTGTGAGTGAGATTCCAGCGGAAAGAGAGGGCCATCAAAGAAGGAGGTACCTTTCCCTGAAGGGAGGAGAGAACTTCCACTTTGACTATGACGTCGTCTAAATAAGATTAGAGTTGGTGAACTCAAAAGACTTCCATAGCCTTGGCAGCTCATGACAAGAGCCTCAGGTGATTACTGACACCATAAACAAGAGTGTCAATTGTTAAGTCAACAACAGGAGTCACTGTGCACACACTCTCCATGTAGGATCTCTGTCCTTAATATGTTGTACTATATGAATTAACGGTATAACTAGTACTCAAACAGTACTGTATACTTTGTGTTTCTGTGTGGGTGCAGTCTGTTGAAATCTTTACTTAGTATATACTAAATTGGTCTTCTGTATATAAAGATGATTGAAAATGAATCTTGATGTGAATGGGATGGGAGAGGGCG